ACTCAGTGGTCTGTGGGGGTGCCAGCCTCAACCTCAGGGTCATCAATCTGCCCTTCCTCAATCATGGATGCGTGTTGATGGTTCTCTGGCGTCAATAAGTCTCGATAAGTGTCTTCGCTCCTCCTTTTTGACCATCTGGTTAACAGTGGCCTTCACACCTTATCTTTTCCTGATGCATGCATTCCTCATTCACACAAACAGTCTTCTACAGAGACCTTTGAGAATACAAACAGCAGCTTTTTATATCGAGCGAAAAGACATTGTAAATTAAACCTTGCTAAATTTTATAACCAAAACAATTCACATTGAAGCCCAGACCTTCAGCGTACGTAGACACAATACAGGATCGTGTCTCTTACTAACTAAGCCTTAAAACAAAGAACTAAAAGGGCCCAATTTGTAATGTATGTGGGAAACAGAATCCCATAGTCCCAGAGGGTCATTCCTTTCTGCTTTTCAAAAAGGGTGGCTGGCAGGATGAAATCAAATCATACGTTAAGTCTCATAGTACAATTATAAAATCCTGCTCCTACAGTGCTCCTGCCTTTTCTAGCCCTTTGAGCACAAGTTCTTCCTTTCCATGCCTGCTTCCAAGCAGTAGGCTGATCCAGAACAGGTCCTCTGCTTCCGGTCTTGCCCACTCCCCGATAGCTTGTGCTTCTGGCGGATGAAATTGCTCTGAGAGAGGCCCCTGTGCTGCTCCATGAACCAGCCAGTGAAGGAGACACTAGTGAAGCCAGGGAGCTGTAGCCCTCATTGTTTCAGAGCCCAAGCTGTACTGATGCATCATTGCCTTGAACTGCTCTGCACCAATGGACTGAGGTGCCAGGTGAGGCCTTTGAATGTGGTCACAGGGTGCTGGAAGACGAGCAGGGGCAGCACACGGGGCTCTTTCCCAGTCCGTTTGTGCTTTGGTTCTTTTTAGGAATGGCCGTTGGCGATCAGAGTGGAAATTTACCATCACGCCCCCTGCAGCTCAGGTGGTTGCAGTCCTAAAGATCCAGGTTAGTTACACCGCTCAGCAACAATCGCCTCGGTTGCATCGCTGCTTCTCCGGGAGTTCTTATGGGTTTGACTCCAGAAAAGAAATCCTTAGGGGGGTCCACAAAGATGCCATTTTAAACTAGGACACGTCATGACTGCTGACTTGTGCATCGGCTGTTGAAAATACTAAAGAAATGTAATCCTTTGAAAGTTATAATAGCTAAAGTCTGGCCTGATGGTTTAGTGTTAGTGGATTGTATTACCATGTGCATCCAAGCTCTGCACTTCACTCCTGGTCCCTGCTAACCAGGAGTGAGCCTACAAGTTGTCCTGTGAACCCTTTATTGCCTGCTCTCATCCCAGCTGTCATGAGTGTTTACTACATTAGCGTAATATTGAAAGGTCCTGGCTGAGAATAAAATCCCTTGGAAAATCCAGCCAGCCTTAGTCTCCACTGCAGGCTGAGCAAACTGTCACAACAGTGGTGTGCGATTCTCCGTGTCATT